AATAATGACAGTATTACTGCGGCGAAGTGGGGAGCCTATTCCTTACACTCAGGAGAATAATAGCCTAACATGATTACAACCATACCATCCTAGTGGCCACAACGTGGCCGATGTTACGCATGTTAAGTGCTTCGTTAAACAAAAGCTGACATTGATGTTGCCATTGAAAGCACTCGAGTTTTCCCGGTACCCCCCCCCCCCGGGCCGCTAGCTAGCAGTCCATACAGGGCAAAAGGGGGAATGTAAACATTGTTGGGTCATTCAATCCCCTACATTAGAGCCCTGCTTCTGACGGGGGCCCGACATCGCATGACAATGTGACCACATTCCGCCGGCCCTCGATGGGACGCTGATACGCGTATCCACTGATACACAATCCCGCGGAGCGCCTTTCTCCCTAACAATCGGCCACTGTCACAACTGGCCACGCCGCAGTGAGCCCACCGTCTAAGAGAGGGAGAAATAATAAAATAATGTATAAAACTCACTCCGCTCCGAGCTCTTCTGCACCCAGCTGAACGCGGTGCACTGCAGGCCCTCAGGCCCTCCTCTGCCCTGTTCGCCCTCATCCTGGGGACGTTTACCTTGTTCGCCCCAAGTGTTCTGTACGAACATATTTCGGTTGGTTTCCCTTGAAAAACTTACTGTTTACTGTTGTATATGTAGATGCCACTCAAATCCATAGGTCTTCAGATTCTGTGGAAAAATCAATGCAAGAATGGAGAGCTAATCAGCTTGTGTACCTTGCAAGAAGTCTCTTTTGGTAAATATTTTCCTTGTCTTTACAGGGTCTAGAAGGTTGTGTAGTTCTCAGTGCTCCAAAGCCATGGGCGCTTTCTCAGCGTTAAATTAATGGGTGTTTGTTCTGGAACCGAATCTCACATATTCACAACATGATGTAACGTTCCCCAACAGTACCAACAGTTCTCCCGGTCTTTCTGAGAACCGTATCTTGACATATCTGCCAGTGTTCATGGTAAAACTGCTCCATCAATGTGTGAAGAGAAATATATTTTACACTCTTGTAGAATTAGAAACAAGAGTCTGAGCCACTTAACTGGACGTCTAGGTATGAGTCATCTTTTGTTAGAGAGTTGGGGCGCTTTTCCACTGCACAAAGTACGGTACTTTCGGTACGGTACTTTCGGTACTTTCGCTTTTCCATTGACTTCCGGTCGAGTACCAGTACCGAAAGTTCGAGTACCGATCGTGCCGAACCACCTGGGGTACACCTTTGGTACTTCGGTACTTTGGGGTGGGACACAAACGTATTTGCTGGAGATTGGTTATGCAAATAGTCTGCCGCTGAAACACAAAATACACACAGTGAACAGCGAGGAACGAAATAAAAAGCGGTAGACACAAAAATATAAAAAAGTAAAACGGAAGGATGGACAAACGATGAAACACAGGCATTAATCGCCATATGGTCGAATAAACAGATTCAGCGGGATTTAGGTGGCACGATTCGAAATAAAAAAGTTTTTGCCATTCCGGGCAATTCAGTTTCCCTATGTGTCCCCTGTCGCGCGCTGATTTGTACACGGTTTCGCTGTTGTTTTCATGTCTTTTTACGAAGCACTTGAGGTAAACAAGCCATATATTTTAAAACATCACATGCCTTAATAAATTAAATTATTTAATTCGCTGGATAGAGATATTTCTTGATGAAAACGGTATAGTATTGCTTATAAGACTATATTATGCGTGACGATCTACTGTATTTACATGTAATAATGTACCTGAGTGATTTTCAGACATCTCGCATACATCTTTGCCTAAATATTAGGAGAAACATTATTTCCTGACATCCAGGATATTTGGTTCCCCCCTGTTAAAACAGGTATACAGCAACTCCGGGCCTCGGTACTAATAACAATACTGTATTCACATGTAATAATGTACCTGAGTGATTTCACATACCTCTGCTTTAATATTAGGGGAAACATTATTTCCTGATAGACAGGAGAAACATAGGGAAACTGAATTAACCGTAATACCAAGAAGAAATGTGGAACACGCGAAACACCGAACAATTACAATGGCGCTTGAAAATAAAAAAAACATAATTAAATAATTTGTTTGCTTTCAAAGGACTGAATTAGGGTACATAGGGTACCAGCCGGCATGTTGGCGATCCTCCGGAAAGATGTCTTCCCCGTGATTCGGCTACTTTACATCACCGAATCTTCAGATTCACGATTATGTTGAAGTGCGGGAAACCGTAAGCATTTAACGTTGGGGGAGAAAGTAGACAAGGTGAGTGTCATGCCCAGTGAAAGGGAAAAACCAGCCGGCACAGACCCCGTGATGACTGGTCCCACGGGCGAGCCGCTCTCCTTCTACGCTGCCCCCGACCCGTTTTGCAAATCGCTCTGATCTCGGGCACAAAGCCGCCTCTCACTCCCTCACAATGTAAACAACCGTCTCGATATTGTCTGAATTGGGTAGAAATACCGGGATGAGGATCTCAGCGCGACATCAAAGGCGAGGCCCTTGGAGCTGTCAGCTGCGCGGATATGGGGCTCTGACAGGAGAGCAGATCGTGAGCCCAGATAGAGGCACGGTAAAGCGCCTCATTCATTCATTCATTCATTCCTGCCTGCCTCCCGCAAGCACTTTCTACCTGCTGCCTCTAGAGATTGGTCGTGCCTTCGCTCTTTTGTAATGGAAGTCAAAAATCTTTTTTTATTTAATTCAATTAATACACAAATAGGAAATATTTTTATTTTCAGGATGGATAGGGGTTTACTGAAGGTTCCAATTTTAATAAAAATGAATAAGAACACACTAGGACTATGTAAACTAATTTGTGCAAATCCACCTATCCATCTATATATTTGGGGGGGGGGGGGGGGTGAAGAACTGTTTAGGGGAGCTAAAGCAAAAACTACTGTGAACATTGGAATTCTACATCCATCCTCCAACATCTACCCGGAATGCCCCCCCCCCCCCCCAACAAACACACAGTACTTCACTGGTACATTATTTGTAGGGGCATGTCTTTACTGTCCATATCCAAATCTACACCCTTGTGTGCAGGGTCATTATTATTATTATTATTATTATTATTATTGTTATTATTAATTATACTTAATTGTGGTGCACCATCTAATCTGGCTCTACTGCTCTTCCACATAATTTATTTTTCCTTTTTTTGATACTGTAACAGAATATTGCGGTCTGAAGTTTTGTTCTACCCTTGCTGCATGTTTTGAAACAAGGGAGAGGCTTCTTCATTCCCATGAGGGGCTGAAAAGGGCCTTTGTTCTTGCCCTGAACACCTGGAGGGAGTTATCTCTGGCGGGTCAGCCCGTTCCCCGGGCCCTGGCGCGCTGCAGCTGTGCCACAGTAGGATAAACGTGCCTGGGTGAGCAGAGGGGTCCCGGGTCTCTGTGTGTGCCTGACCAGCGGCCATGTGACCAGTTTGGGCTCTTAATTCGTAACCGTGCAAGCAGCTGGACCCAGCTTTCCTCGGTTCTCTGAAGTCGCTCTCTTCAGGTCTTCCGACCGCTAGCAAACGTGCGTCGAGCTGACAGCTTTCACAACTTAGTTTAAACAGGGATATAGATCTGGCAAGCTATGGGGAAACTTTAAAACGAAATGCCCATTGGTGCAAATGCTTTTCTACTGATCAAAATGTAGTTTAATCTACTGATTAAATTACATTTCAAAAGTGTCCAAGCGGCATGATACCTCAGTTTTAGTTCAGCTATACGTTCTTGTAGATGATATGCAATTATACATTATTTTCTCAACTCTTTAGCATTACATTGTCATGTTGTTATCAACAGAATAGGTCTATATACTGTCTTTTTCATGGACACACACCTAGGTTTTGCATTTGCACAAAGCATAGCATTTTAGATTTAATGCAAGTGTTTTATACTAAGTTTATACAGCCTATCATGCATCTATTTTTTTTTTAAACTATATTTTGGTATGAGTTTCATTCAGTATCCATTAGGTACAACTCATCTTTATTCACATCAGTTTTTATAAATATAGGCTATTTTATTATTTTTTTATCTCTTTAAATGTGAAAAGCAGTATTAACTGTTGTTATTCTAGTTATGCTTACAGGAAAAGATTCTGCCAAGGTTTGTAGTTGTCATGACATGAAGGACGAAGGACTCGACGCCAGGCATCAGGAGAACAAAAGGGGCTTTATTATCAAAACAGGAGCAGGGAGACAAACAGGACTGCGAGGGGTCAAAATGGGAAGGCTGGCACTGGGAAGGGCACAAGCAACAGGAGGACTGATGTTAATGACTGGACTGGGGGACACCGGGCTGGAAAGCACTTATATACAGGACTAACAAGAGAGTGATATGATTCAGATGTTGCCGTCTATCACATTAGGATCGGGAATTATGAACAGGACACAGCTGGAAAGAAAAAACGAGGATTCTAGAGGACCAGCAGTGACCCCTGTTGGTCATACAGGGATGGAAAGGAGGTTTAGTGACAGAGTCCCCCCCCCCAAAGTGTGCACCACCACAACCTGGCTGGGACAGATGGGAGCAAAGACAGGACAGGGTCAGGAACTGGGCAGAAGGGATAGAGACCAAACCTCAATGGCACTGAGAAAACAAACGACATGGTGCAGGACCAGACTAGTTACATGGGGTAAAACTGACTGCAGAGCGGACACCAGGCAAGACACGAGGGACAGAGCACAGAACAGGGCACACCACATGACCAGGGGCACAGAAACGGCAGTAGTTACACCAGGGACCAGAAGGGCAGCAAGCGGGACAACCACCACCACCAGGACAGGACAGACAAGCACAGAGGCAACAGAGACAGGGCTGGGGGGCCTAAGGAGACAGCAGGGCCGAGCATGAGTGCACCACATGTCCCCTCCCCTCTGCAGGAGAGCAGCCCTGGTGGTCAGCATTGCATGAGCAGGAGTCTGGGAAGCTAAGCTGGCACAGACGGTGTGCCCCCATCTCCTCCCCCTGGAAGACGGAGACTCAGCCAGCCCTTCATCTGGGTCCCACCCGATACCGGTGGCCGCCGTGGGACCTGGGACTGGATTGACCTAAGCCTTTGGCTGAGGCAGGGACTCACGGAGCAGGATTCAAGGCAAAGCCAGAGGGTCCCACTCTAAGTCCTTCAAAAGAACATCTTCCAGATCAATCCCATCCGGCCTGGCAGCAGCCCTGGAGTCAAGTGTTAGGCCAGCGGAGGTCGTGGAGTCAGGTGGCAGTGGAGTTGGGCATCGGGCTGGCAGGGGCCGGCAAAGGAATTTGGGCAGCAGTGAGAAGGCCACCCAAATGATGAAGGGAGATGAGGTGGGGGCCGGCAGGACACCACCAGACGAGCCAGGTACTGACAGGACATCATTAGGTGAGCAGGGGGCAGCTGGGGAACCTGGAGATGAACAAGGCGCAACCAGGGCACCTGGAGTGACCACTGATATTCCCTGCAGGATGTTAGATGAAGCAGAACAGGCCGAGCAGCCCAGAACTGTGTTTCTGACTGGGGGTGTGGTCTCACCTGGGTCCGTTTTGGGCAGCATGGATGCCACGAGGCCAGTTGCGGGTGATGTGGCCTCTCTTGGGTTGGGAGCCTGGGACTTGGGTGGAGCGGACCTCTTTGGGCCAGGTGCCTGGAACGCAGGCGGAGCGGCCCTCTCTGGGCCGGGAGCCTGGAACATGGGTGGAACGGTCCTCTCTGGGCTGAGAGCCCGGAATGGAGGTTCTGGAGGCACAGCAGAGGCAAGGATGGCCCTCAGGGGTGCAGTAGAGGTGAAGACAGGCTCTGGAAGTTCAGCAGAGGTGAGGACAGCCTCTGGGGGTGCAGCAGAGGTGAAGACAGGAGGAGCGGGCCCCAGTGGGCTAGACTCTGAAGGCTTAGGATGAGTGGTGGCCTCTTCCGGGCCAGGCTCTGGAGGATCAGGCAGAGCGGATCCTTGTGGGCTAGACTCTAGATGTTCGGGAAGAGTGGTGGCCTCTTCGAGGAGACTTGGGTGTGGTAGCGGCTTCTCGTTGCCAGCATCAGCTCGGACCTGGCTTCCTCCAGTCTTCTCTTCCAGCACCGTAACTCTGGTTGGTAATAGCGGGACAATCCACACGGCGGGAAGCTTTGCTAGCTCGTTGGGATCGTCAACCTCCTCTGGATCACTGTCTCTAATTGGGTCTATTAGTGGATTGTCCATGAACCATCGAGGTGAGCAGGCTCAAGAAGGTTTGGGCTAAGGAAGGAGGCTGGGTGCAGGGAAGGTGGTGCAGGCAGATTTGCAGAGCATAGGGGGCTTCGGGAATAGTCACTAGGTGACTACTGGAGTGCCCGGTCATTCTGTCATGACATGAAGGATGAAGGACTTGAGGGCAGGCATTGGGAGAACAAAAGTGGCTTTATTATGAAAATAGGAGCAGGGAAACAAACAGGACTGTGAGGGGTCAAAACAGGAAGACTCTGGAATGGGTGCAAGCAACAGGACGACTGATGTCAATAACCAGACTGGGAAACAAGGGACTGGGAAGCACGTATATATGGGACTAACGAGGGATTGATATGATTCAGGTGTTGATATTTAAAAAATTAGGATCAAGGATTATGAACAGGACACAGCTGGGAAGAAAAATGGAGAATTCCAGAGGACCAGCAGCGACCCCTGTTGGTCATAGCAGGGGATGGACAGGAGGGGTTTGACAGTAGTAAACAACACAGGCCTATTTGTTCATAGAACTATTGTTAGAAGTTCTGCTACCATTTAATGAGATAGTCCACGTAATTTGAATTATCATTATGATGTTTCGCTCCCATATTTAAGTACATTGTACGCCCGCTAATAACCCAGCCTCCAAGTTGAATTTTCCACCCACCATTCCCAGTTTCCCATCGAATTCCCATTCCTTCCCATCCTTCCTCTTGCTCAATCAGTCCGATTCCCCGTCTCATTATGAAGTGTTAGAAAGTTGCTCAAGTGAGAAATGAGTCCCTCGAAAGCCCGCTGTCCTAATTAAACTTTGACAAGAAGAGTGACAAGAAGCAATGGCGAGGAAACAATGCCGACAGTGTTCGAGCGTGAGCCCGGAGCTGGGAAAGGCTTTGTCCCCACGAACAAAAGGATTTGTTTGCAAGTGTTCAACTCCATTAAACTTCATCAGAGCCAGGTGCAAACATCATCTTCATGGAGAGCAATGTGGCCCCTCACACCTTAGCACGGCTGATGAACATCCCACAGTCACCCCTAATTCCTTCACATGGACCTGATCAAAGCTACTGAGTTACAATGTAAATACTGTGCTTTAGAATAAACTCATACTCATTACTGC